GTATACAATAACTCACAACCAATCACTCTCATGCAGGACAACTGAGCCCTCAGTACTCTCCACTAGCTATTGCAGTCCTTCGCATCCACTCCTACTCTCCACTGCTGTGTCTCTCTGTGGAGGCCTCTGGAGTCACCAGCAGCCACTGTGTGTCCTCAGGTTTGAATCTCTTCTCTTACACAGTGAATCCCAGCTTGGAGAAAGTGCTACCAGCTACCTCCTGTTTCTTCATTGAAGTTTCTCTCTTCATTCTCTCTGCAGGCTTCAATTTACACTGCAGATTCTTCCTGGGTCCAGGGGTCCACTTCATTCCTTCTTGTCTTCCTCATATTGCTATATTCCAGCATCTGCACAGTAACCCTCAGAGAAGCTCTTTCTCTGCTGCTACCATTCCACCATCTTGGTGCTCCTCTTTCTTACCCAGTTTCTTTTTATCTGTACATTTTTGCATTCATGATTATATTCCTTGAGGGAAATTAAGTCTCATTTGTTTTGCCCCTTTTCTCTTGCTCCACCTCTTGGTCCCCTGCCCTTTTGCAAAAGATCTACCTCCTTCCTATTATCCATCTTTTATTTTGCTCTTTATATTTTGATTTTTCTCATACAGGAAAAGCCATGCAATATTGAAGTTTATGCACCTGCTTTATTTCACTAAACATCATGGTCTCAAAGTACACTCATTTTCCTGCAAATGATTCAGGTTTACCATTCTTAATGGCACAGTAGGACTGCGTTGTCCACAAATACTACATTTTCTTTGTCTATTTGTCTGCTGGTGGGAAGACAGGCTATTGCCAAGATTTAGCTATTATCAATAGTGGTTCTACGAACATGCATAGGCAAGTGTCCCTATAACATGATGTTTTGGTTGATTCTGGGTGAAATGAGAAAGATCGTCATGCATCTCTCATAAATCTTGTGGTAGTAGCATGCATGTTACATATAGAACTTCATAATCTCATCACACCAAAAACATTCCTGTGTGAACACCAAACACTAGTACGTTAGACCACATAAAAGTTATTTGTTTGAGCTTTGTTTAAGCATTCAAATGTTTTGCATATATTTGACAAAATTAACATGAATATATCTATAAAATTTTACCATATCCTATGTAAGGATATTTATCATTCACTACATTTTACAATATTCTCTATATGATGATCTACAGGAGAATTTTCTTCCAAGAATCAGTGACAGAAATGTTTGAGCTTCCTCTCAATGACTGGCTAACTTTTATCTTACAGACATTGCAATTCATCTTCTGACTGTTCATTTGCTTTGGTTATTTTTTCTCATTAGCATTGCTGCTGGAAAGCCCCACATAGGCTGCTTGTTCTGGCACTGGATTAAAACAGTATATCTACCCTTGTAGAATCCAGTTACCATTACATAATTTCATCTCACACTGTACTTCAAATAATTTTTCTATCCTTATTTTTATTTAGCTTCAACATATTTATTTCCACATCTAGTCTCTGGGAAGTGTTTCTTCATGTGCTAGAATAAGATAAATTATAAGTATGTACATTTCCCAACCTAACTGTTTATCCTGGACAACTCAGAGGTTCAGTAACTGGGTTTTCTAATATATGAAATAATAGGTAATACCATCCTAGTTCTTGATTTTTTTCTTTTTTCCCCCCTCATCCCAAGTACTGGGATTTTACTAAGGACTTTTCCCTTGAGCTACCTCTTCAGCCTTTTTTTAATGTTTTATTCTGAGACAGGGGAAGGGGGTATGAAAATTGAACCTTCCTAGAAAGATCTATAATATAGATGAATAGATAGATAAACTAGTTTATTTGCACATATAATTATTTTTAAAATAATCTAAAAGGATAAAAAGCCACATATAAATAAATGCATAGTAAATTTTTAAAAGATTTTCAGCATAGAAGTATGTGTGTGGTCTCATTTAGGACTATGAATTAGCACTTACTGAGCTTAGATGTCTACTTCAAATAGCTAAAAGTATATTTTCAAATCCCTTACACTTTCAAATATTATAAACATCATATTTGGCCTCCAAAATGGGAAATACACATGGATTACTAATTTTACTTTTTAAGCCATTTATTTATTTATTTATTTACTTACTTACTTACTTACTTATTTGGTACAGAGTCTTGCTACGCAGCTCAGATTTGTAATGATCTTCCTATCTCAGCCTCCCCAGTGCTGGGATTACAGGTGTGTGTCACCACACCTGGTTTCAATGGCCAGCATGACATGCAGGGCTGGTAGGGCATGTAGTACCAGGGATTGGATCTGTGACCTTGCGAGTCCCAGGGAGACACTTAGACTGTGGAGCTATCTCCGCAACCCATTAATTTTAAAAAGAGATCAAAAAGGACAAAACAATTGCATATGAATGCCTACTACAGACTGTAAGATATTTTACATGAATTATCTCATGAACCCTTGAAAGCAATTTCATATGGCAGCAACCTATAGCCTCAGAGCATTAATAACCATTTTGTATATCTTCTCTGAAGAAATTCTACTAAGATTCTTTGTCTATTTTTAAAATTGGCTTTGTTTTTTCATTGTTTAGTTACAATTTCTGTATATATTTTGTATAAGGTTTACAAATATTTTCTGTCATCCTTTTTTGATGACATCCTTTGATATCCAAGTGTTCAGTTTCCATGAAGTTCAATTTTATTTATTCTCTTGTCATTCATGCTTTTGATGTCATACCTAAAATATTCCTGAGACCAAAGTCATAAAGATTTATGCATGTTTTTATCCAAGAAAAGTTTCATAGCTTTGGCTCTCTTATTTAGGTCTATGCTCTATTTTGAATCAAAAATTTTATACAGTATCTTAACCCCATTTTAGAGAGCAGAAACACTAGGATAAACCTGGGTAAAATGTTGTCTTAGAACCTCACAGTTTGCAAGGGACTGAGACGGAGTTTAAGTTGACACAAAATGGCTTCAGAGTTTGTGGGTTGCTTCCCTTGTTACACTACATTTATATTGCAAGTGATCTGTTTTTCTTTCATCAAAATGAATGAAAACTGATACATTAAATATCTTTTGTTCTTTTGTCACTGAGTGAGAATGTAATGGAAAATATCTCAGGAAAATATTTCTCCAAAAGGGCTCATCAGATTAATATTTCATCTATACAAATGTTGCAAAGACACAAGAATCCCATCACAGAGCCAACCCAAATTCTAAATGATCTGAATCTATAATCTCTATTTTGGGTATATTTTATTGTTTTTAAAATTAATCCACTCCTTTTTATAATTGAAATCACAAGAATAATACATTCAACTTTTCCCTTTTCAATGTACATAATAAGTTATAATAATTGACTTTGTTAACTCATATCCCTATCTCATTACATTACATTTTTCAAAAAGTGACCATTCTCAAATGAAATAAAGTCAAATTTATTTATTCTAACTATTATGTGCCTAGAGAAAACTTGACAAAATCATATGTTATCTAGTTTCATAAGTTTGGTTAATAATGTATCATTTTATGTGAAAGTTCAGGTAAATATGAAAGGGTAATAATTTTGTCAAAGTTGAGTAACATTAATATAGACTGTGACATCAATCTAGCCAGAAGTTATATCATAGATTTCTCAGTATTCAAGGTGAGAGTCTAACCACTATGTATCACTGACTCATTTATTTAGCACAGCAATCACTAATGATTAACATCAATTAAGATTCATAAAGAACTATACATTATCTGCTGTCTAAATGAGCTCATTATATCAGAAGATTTCAGAGCAATTTACTAAGTAGACCTTTCCATTTTCCCTGTTCTGTCACTGATGGGCTCCTAAAGCCCCAATTAACTTACCTACTATTACATATTTCCTCACTCTGTTTGCTTACTATTTTTATGTATAGGATTTAACTCGTAGTTCATTGCAAAAGACAGACATATATTAGTTAAATGAAGAGCAATTTGCCTGCTTGCACTTTCTTGCTGACTCAAAGTGAATTTTAATTTGTGCTGCTTGTTTCTGTTAATGAAACAATTTAAAATAACTACAAAAGCCTATAACGTTAACAGAATGAATCCATCCTACAATCTTAATAGAGCCTTTGTAAAAAGTTAAGTTGAGGCTTTGTAATAAATACTATCCACAGACTTGCTTTTCAAAAATTTTCTAATGAGAATACTTTATATTTTCAAGAAACTATATAATCTACACCAATCTGTAAAACCTTGCCAACATGAAGATATCCTTCAAATTTAGCAGTCTAAATTTGAAAAGGCTAAAACTTCAGTCTTAGTATTTTTAACAGTGTAAACAACCTCCTGTAAACAGAAGAATCATAAATTCTAACATAGTATTGGCTATATTTCATCAACTGGGAGACCCTTGGATAGAGCTGCCTTCCAAAACTCTGCCCTGGACATGTTACTATTTTGTCTACTCCTAGTTGAAAAGCATACACTTGCTTATATTGGTGTACACTGGCTTCTTAGAACAGGACCAAAGAACAGAGTCTCTCAAAAGTTGAGGTCTTCAAAGGATCACTGATGTCCTGAGACACTACAGCAAGACCAAATGTAAGGTTATAATAAGTTTATTTCTCAGAGCATAATATGCTTAAAAATAGTTAAGGCATTTACTAGCTTAAAACATGACTAAGAGAAAAGTAAAACACCATACAACAAAGCTTCTAAAAATGAAAAATTAATACTTTGAGTGCAGGGAGAATACATTTCTTTTGAGATAACAGAGATGTTATCAAGAGTCCTTCAATGCAATTAATCACTGAAGCCCACATTAAAGAGGCAGAAGCACCCTATAAAAGAATATGCTAAGGTATGTTATTAAATCCTTATTTCTGCTGAAAAAGAAATACAATTTTTAGGAATATGATTTTCATGCTCTAAATCACTCATACAAGTAAAGATTTCTCCTGAGCACAGAGGTAGTAGGACTTGAAAATTCTGCTTTTAAAAATAGAGGCTACTCCATACTAAAAAGGAAATCGTAACCAGGGTACCTGTTTTTACCTTTGCTTTGCGAAAGTGGTAAACCACCAGCATGCTGATGAAATCCAGCAGCATACACAGGGCTTGGAAGGAGATGATCGCAAGTCGCAAATACTTATCCTCTTGGACAAAGCATGGACGGTCATCAGCGCAGTAGGGACAGCCTTCTCTGCAGGGCAGGCAGACATGGGTTTCTTCTGACACACCTTTTGCACTTCCTGAAGACTGATGATCTGAATCCATTCCTGAAATTTCCAAATAAAACCACGGGATCATTTGCCAATCTGAGACAGGTAAGACAGAGCACAGGGTGAAAGCACAGCTTGCCTCTTCAGTTTTCGCAGTTACTATAGGTCTTCTGTTAATTCTTCAGCTAGGAGAGAGACAGAGTTACTTTGCCTTTTGACTCAAAATTCTTTGATGCCTTTGATTTTAAAATCCTCACTCAGAGTAATTGAGAAAAATTAGCAAAAATGGAAATGAAACTCCTGAGGGCAGAAAATAGTCTACTGAGTTTTTTTATCTTCATCTACCAGTCACCACATGATGATACTCCCTAAAGAACAAATCTCATCCCTGCATACTCATTAAAGAATTAACCAAAAGCAGGATAAGAAAGTTGATGTCTTTTATGTATTAAGTAAATATACTCATCACTTAGATCACTTATGAAACTTCTTGACCTAGATGGCACAGAATCTAAAATGAGTCTTTGATTGCTCTTTAATTCAGCAGAGATCTCATCTACCAAGTTCATTAGGACTAAATTGGATAAAATGGTACTTAAACAACAGTTGTTCAGTGTGCAATTGCCTAGAATCCAGTCCATATTTACAAGCTATTATGTAATTTCCCACTTCGCATACCCATAGGAATTTCCACACTGTTTGCTAACTGTTGTTATGGATCCCCTATCTAATTTTAGATTCTTCTCTTTCAATTATCAAATGGGAGTTAGCTTGAAGCCCAATACCTAAGAATTATTTTTAGTTGTAGTCTTTGCTTTATCACCAGCAAATATTCAGCTAGTAACAAATAATGAAAAGCTCAAACATTTCTAACTATGAGCTCAACATAAAAGACATTAGTGAATATTCACCCAGTGTAATGCAAAACACAATTTTGATTGAGGAATTCACAAGAAAGGGTTTTTTTTTTCCATTTAATAACATTTTTCTAGCAGAAAGTCTCATCTTTCAAATTTAGTTAAAACTTCACAATCTTTTTGAAATATATGTATCTACTTTTCCTTAGTAAATAATAACAAAACTACAGTGAAATGTGATGTCTTTTTAAAAAAGACATTATGATTCAGAAAACAAGGAAATATTCTTTAAAAAAAAAAAAAGGTGAGTTAAGAAGGACTGAGTGGAACGGTAAGTTCCTTGTTCAGACAGTTTCAAGTTTAGGGCCAACTCATTGTCTAGAAGAAACACAATATCTGAGTAATAATAATAATGTAGTAAGACTGCAATGTAGGAGCAAGATCAGTATTAGACAAAGAATTTGCAAGATCTGGGAGTGAGTGAAATAATGACTGAGAATGTAAGGAGGAAGACACCTGACAACAGAAGTATTTACGATGTCATAATATAAATCTCAAATTAATTAGGAAATGTTGGATGTGATCAAGTGTGATGACTGAGGAAAGACTATGGGACTTCAAGATTTTATACCTCATTGACTTTTAAGATAGTGCAATCAGATACAGTTATGCAAGATTGGGTATTGATTGCATATTACTCCTTATTTTCCAAAAACCTTAGATTTTTCTTGTCCCTCTTGTATTTTTTTAATTAACTTTATTGACAGACAAATGGCAATGAGACAGTTTCAAAACTGATTAGGAGGACAGTTTCAATAATTCATACACTGCATATTGTTGTCTTCGTAGTGGTTATTCATAGTACAAGATGCAGACATGATATTGTGTCCAAACACTATTAGTACAAATCTTTTTTCTCATTGAATTAAGCGAAAGTATCTATATATCTATCCTGTTTTCTACATATAGATACAAAATGCTCCTTCATTTGTATTCCCTTTTTTCATTTAGTTTTGTCAGAGATTGTAGGGAGCTGCATGTAGCCGCGCCCTAGGATGGCGCCGGTTTCTGCCTTCCACACCCTCAAGGGGTGAGTGCTCCTGGAGTAAACAACTCCATATATGGCCAAGGCTTGGGCTAAGGCATTGCTTCCGCAGACCTGGACCAATGGACAGTGCATACGTGGCACCCTATGGTTGGAAGCCCTGAGACTTATAAACTAAGAGCAGGGGCCTCAGAGAGAAGAAGACGGATGTAAGAAAACAATAAAGAGCTGCGCAGAAAACCAACCAGTGGTCGTGTCATTCTTGCTGCCAAGGCTGCACGTGACAAGTGGTGACGAAACCCGGGAACTGCAGTCCCGTTGCTGGTTGGAGCCCTGCGCGAACGGTACTGGTAAGCCCCGAGGTAAGTGGGGTCCGCCTAGAGCAGGGAGTAAAACTCGCGCTCCCTAATTCAGGGGGAGCGGGAGTCTCACCTAGAGTGAGGATGACCCAGGTAAAGTGGGGTCCGCCTAGAGCGGGGAGTAAAACTCGCGCTCCCTAATTCAGGGGGAGCGGGAGTCTCACCTAGAGTGAGGACAGCCCAGGTAATGGGCGCTTCTCTGTAGATAAGAGAAAGCAAGAGTTCACTGACGAGCGGACTAAAACCGAAAAGGAACTAAACCGAAAGTATTATCAGTCATCATGGGTGCTTCCACTTTGCACCCAGTTTTTCAGGCTCTGAAGGAGCTGTTGCATGCACGAAAATTGAAGTTGAGTAATAGGACATTGGAAAAGTTTCTGAGGGAGTGTGATGTGGTGGCTCCGTGGTTCGCAGTTTCTGGAAGTCTTACGATCCCCTCTTGGGATAAGTTGGGGAGGGACCTAGACTGCACTCAGGAACGGGGAACTCTCAGACCCGGAGTCAGGCCTATCTGGCAACTGATCCCTGATCTGGGGATGTATAGAGGATTGCCGATGCAGTGAGGC